TCTGGTGCTAGGGCAGGGGACTGGGCAGAAACACCCCTTGTGGTGGCCTTTATGAGTTCATGTTCCTATTCCCCCCACCTCCTGCCATGATTGTAGTCTTGGTAGCATGGTTTCCTGCTTCCATCAGTAACAGCTTGAGGTTCAGAATGAGGAAAGGAGCAAATGCAGCTTGATGTTTAATCATTTTCTCTTACTTGTCCAAAGGAAGTATTTAGTGTGATGGTTTAGTTAAAATTTTCTCTTCAGTGTTGTCTCTGGTTGAGAGTGCAATGGCTAGATCAAAAGCAAACTGCTGAGAAATTAAGGAATTATAAAGCAGTCTGGTGTCCCTTCTTCCAGAAAAATATCCTGAGGGTTGCACCAGTGCTAATGATAGGACTACATCAATGAACAAAAGAAAGAAATCTTTGCTCTTGTGGAGATACACTTTAAGGACAGAGACAAAAATCAAGAAGTTACGTGGTATGTTTGAACATATAATACTTCGTATAACTTCTGCATGCTTCTGGTTTTATTCACGTTAAAAGCCAGAGCCTCATAGGATATGCTACTGGTCCTACCTCCTTTCCTTTCTGACCACATTGTCAGAATTGTTTCAGGTAATTTTTTCTTGTTAGGGTATGAACTTTTCAATAAGGCTCACTTTGACCAACCTAATTAAAATTACATCATGGATGTAATTAGGTTGGATTGTCAATTTGTTTAGTTTTGGGGCCTGCCCCTGGGATTATTGGAGTACTTTTCTGGGTGTGACTGGGTGGGCCACTTAGGTATGGCCTTGGGGTTTGTGTCTTGTCCCTTACCCCTACCTCTCTGGCTCTATTTTCATTCTCTGCTTCCCTACTTCCATGTAGTAACCAGCTTTACCTTTTGCCTTTTGCCATGATGTTCCTGCCTTAAAACCAGATGACTTGGGGCTGGGGATTTAGCTCAGTGGCATAGGCACCTGCCTTGCAAGCAGGCAGTCTTGAGTTTGATCCCCAGTACCGATAAAAAGGAAAAAGACCAAAAAAAAAAACCAAAAAACAAAAAACAAAACAGGTGACTGTGGACTAAATCCCCTAAACTTATGAGCCAACTTATACCTGTCCAGCAATGAGAAATATAATACAAAAAAGTTGTACCAGAGAAGTGGGGTTATTAAAACGACTGTACTTGACCATGTGATTTAGAAGCCTTTAGAACTGGTTTGCAGGAGGAGATTGGAAAGGTTAACGACTGTACTTGACCATGTGATTTAGAAGCCTTTAGAACTGGTTTTGCAGGGAGATGAAGGTTGATGTTTGGCATCTGCTGTAGGGGTTGGTGGTTCACACTTCTGGGTGTGTCTGAGTAGGTCATGGAAATGTGGCCTTGAGGTGTATGTCTATTCCTTCAAGCATTCTTCAGCACAGTTCCTCTACTCTGCTTCCTGGTTGCCTTGAAGTAAGCAGTTTTGTTCCACCACACCCTTCTACAAAAATGTTTCTACCATGGAACCAGCTGACCATGTGCTAAATTCCTTTGAAGTAATGAGATACATCAATCTTTCCTTCTTGAAGTTGTATCAGTGATTGTGTTCCGGCAACGGAAAACCCGACTGATAAAACTATCTTTGCAGCAATCCTGAATTCCTTTCTGTGCTCTTTGCCCCCTGTAGTATGTACCAGTTTTTAACAATTCTATTTGTGAGGTAAGTTTGATGGGGCCAAGGATCTTCATTTTGTTATTGAAGTACATTAAGTGATTACCTAGAACAATAACTGCCACCTGATATTCAGTATACATGAGTAAGTAGAAATGAAAATTAGTATGGAAAAAATTTTAAAAATAGTATTAACTTCTTGGGGCTGCTGCACCAAATTTTTAAAAAAAATCCTAGTGGCTTCAAAGAACAGAAATTTATTTCTTCACCATTCTGGAGGCCATAGGCCCCAAATTAGGGTATCAGAAAGTCATTTCTTCCTCCAAATGTTATGGAGAATAATCTACTGTGGTCCTCTCCTCCTCCAGTTTCTAATGGCTCCAACTATTCTTAGACTTGGAGGTGCATCATTAGTTGCTGGTTCAGTGGTCACATCACCTTTTCCTAACCTGCTTTAAAGTCCTCTGCTCCCCTCTGATATAATGACACATGGGATTAGTATTTAGGGCCCAAATGGATAATCCAGGATAAGCACATCAGCTAATATCTTTAACTTAATCACATCTTTTGGTATATGAAGTTAATTTCATTCTTGTGTCATACAAGGTAAATATCACAGATTGCAGGGTTGAGAATGTGGATATGTATTCTGTGGAGGTCATCATTTGCCCATTACAAAGGGCATAAGGGAGTGTTCTGGTTACAGGAGGAAGAATTATTCCCAGGGTGCTGACCTCCCTAGTTAACGTATTGATATAATTGCTTCCTATCTTTTGTTGTTCATTTTAAAGTAAACATTAGCAGTCAACTCAAAATCTTTTCTGTTTCTATTTCCTTTTCGTCCTGTGTAGAGCAGTCATTGTCATTATTTGGTATATGATCAGTCTTCAGTTTATAACTTTACTGCATTACTATTCACACATAATATATGAAGTTGTGTGTTTGTGTTCCTTAGAAAGGATACTGTATGTGGCAGGCTGAAGCTTGCTTTTTTTTTTTTGGTAAATCAGTGTAGATTGTTAAATACAGACTAGTTTGTTCATTTTACTGAAGCTCTATATGGCAAGTTATGTTTGTTGCCTGGCTTCAGAATATACGGTACAAATCCCAGAGGCCTCTTATTAACCAGATTGGGTTCCATGCCAGCACCTATTGGATCAGCCTGGCTTTAGCAGATGGAGCACTAGAATTACTCAAGCCCAGAGCTCGTGACTTCACTGCAGGGTCAGGATGCTTTGCAGTTCCACTCAGGATAACATGTGTGGACTTTTTTTTTACTTTTTTTGTTGCTGTTTCCCCCCCACCCCTTTCCTTTAAGCACATATGTAGCATCCAAAAAATATAGATTTCTACTTGATCTTCAAGGTTGGGCTTGCAAGTTATATCCTTGAGGAAGCTGGCCCTGATCCTCAGATCCTGTTCTGTGGTGCCCTCTCCTCTCAGATATTCTATTATTGTTACCATGTAGTTTCTTCTCTGTTGCTGTCTATTCATTCATAGCAGTCAGTGTTTGTCTTGTTTTCTACTGTGCCTCAGGATATACAAGGTCTGACACATAATTAAATGGTCAGCTCTGTGTTTTCATGAATGATTTCACCAATTAGCAAAACTTTCACCTTATTTCCTCACCTACCTTTTAGGCCTGGCAAAATTCTGGCTTTTTTCACCTCTTTTAGTTAATTTGCCCTTGCTTGGAATTTTTTCTTATTTAATGATGAAAATTCAAGGCAAGTTGAAATTGCTGAAATGCAAACTCAAACTACTTCTCTAAAATCATTAAAGATGAGCCTCACCTGGGATTTTCACATACCTCTATCCTTTGTTTTTTGGCTTTCTTGTTTGTTTGGTAGTTTCCTTGTTTGTTTATTTGGAACTAGGAATTAGAACCTTGCACTTGCCAGGCAGGTGTCATACTGCTGAGCTATATCCCCAGGCCCCCTACCTTCTTTTGAGACAGGATCTTGCTATGGAGTCAGGGCTGGCCTTGAACTTTATAGCAATCCTCTTGCCTCAGCCTCCTGAGTGCTGGGATTACAGGTAAATGCCACCACATCTAGTTTACATCAATATCTTTTGGCTTTCATGTGTGTACTATTTCTTTCTAACCTCAATTATCAGAGAACATATTTTATGCAAATGTACTTTTGAATCTTTTTTGGCACCAAGAAAATTTGGCATGGATACAGACTCATTGTAAGGCTTAGAACTGTTGTTCCACTCTTTGTAAGGAGAGTCATGATGTGTGGAAGTGGGCTGGGTGCTTTTACTATACACTAGCACTACACTACCTAGAATATTGGAGAGACCATTTGAGAAATACAGATTTGATGGTGCATTTTTGGTGTCCAATATGCAAGTTGAACTGTAGCCCCTAGGATCCTGGCTGTGGTAGTTATTTAAGCAGGAAGCCATTAAATTTCTGGATAAATATTTAGCTATAATGAAGCAAACCACAGTGAACTTATAAGCAGCTCACTGAAACTTTGTGGAGTGACAATCTGTGAAGTTTATATCAGGCATCTAATACAATCTAATTACATGATACAGGATGGTTAATTATTAAAATGTACAAATCTATTGATACTACTTTATGATAGAATTGTGGGGGTGGTGGCTGAAAAGATAAGAAGTATGAAATATAAATGACCTTTATTTCAAGAATGTGGGGAGAGACCCCAAGCCCCTGAGGTATGGCATCTCCCCCCTGGGTCAGCGATCTCTCTGTGGGACTCGTGGAGTGGAGGCATACATGTAGCTTAGGTTGGGGGTGGAGCCTGAGGGGGCATTAGGGATGCACAGGTAGCCCATTGGTATTCTTTTGGCAGCAGAGGTAAATTCCTAGGGGTGGGGATTATGAAGCTCCTTGGTTCTGCCTGAGGCTTTACCGGCTGCAGTGTTCCATCCGGGCTATAATCCTTTCACTTTATTTGTGCTGTTTTATATCAATATATAGTAGGGGTTTTATAACTAGGGAGTTTAATTTAGATCTGCTCCCAAATTTGCATTTACTCTAAATTCTTGTATTAGTTAGCTCTGAATTCTCTTTAACTATGGAAATGATCACCAATATAACCCCTACTTCAGAGGAAATTGGTGATATCACTAAATCTAATAGGATAATGTGTGCCCCAGGGAACCCACTGTGTATGCTGGATCATTCTAAGCACTTTCCATCAGGGGCACTTTTTCTGCATTTGTAGCACTTTGCTCAGTTATGTGCTGAGTAAATAATCTCATAGTTTATATGTGGACTAATAGCCTACTGGCATAGGATATCAGTGTTCCCAGATGGGATTATCTTTTATCTATTCATAGAAAATAGTGATAGAATAAGTGGATGATGTTAAAATCAAGCTGCAATTTTCTTCCCCTCTAGGTTGCTTCCCAACGCATTAGTTCAGTGGACCTCTCATGTTGTAGCCTGGAACATCTGCCTGCCAACCTGTTCTACAGCCAAGACCTCACCCATCTCAACTTAAAACAAAACTTCATAAGGCAAAATCCCAGCCTTCCAGCTGCCAGAGGGCTCAATGAACTGCAAAGGTAAGCCTGTAAAAGTGTGTGGATCATTTGAAAGGGGTAGAAAGCCAGCTTCTGATTGCTAGTTCTTAACTATGCTGACTAAAAAAGCTATGGCAAACTTCTTGTCTCAGAGGTCATGCTAATAGGGCTTTATTTATTAGTGAGCACACAAGTCCCATTCTAAACTTTTCCTCAGACTAACCTCTTAGAAATTAATGATTTTCAATATTTCTTAACAGGGCAGATTGTGGGGGGAGGAGGACAGGGTTTTTCTATGTAGTTTGAATTCACTATATAGCCCAGGCTGGCCTTGAACTGGCAGCAGTCCTCCTGCCTCAGCTTACCAAGTGCTGAGATTGCAGGTGTGTGATATTTGTTGAAAATTTATGAGACTATAAATATAAAAGTATAACTATTTTAATCAAATAATGGATAATCCTTTTTTAAGAATGACTGATCTAATTAGAGTATATAACCTTTGGGATGTGTGTGTATGGTTTTTAATTTCTGGAAAGAATACTTCCAAAATTGCTCATTATAACATTTGTGTATATAATTGGAAAACAGAGTATCTTAATTGTCTTTTCAGATGATTTTATTCTTATTTGATACTTACCCAGTATTAAACAAGTGATCATTTCAAATGTTAGGGGATATATCAGTGAATTATTTGAATTTTTCAAGATCCACTGGGCTTTATTGCACTTTGAATGAATCTTACCCATGTACCATTTTACTGGATTAAGTATTGGCTACTGGGACAATACTGGTTCATTGTGTAATACAAGTGTTTCAGATGTTAACACATTTCATTATGCAACTTGAAGAAGTTACCTTTATTATTATCACTATGGATCTTACCTAAAAACTTATCTTAAGTATTGGAAAGTTGTTGGGCTTTCAGTAGCAATAAATTTTCCAGATTTTTAATTTTCATTTGAAAGCTTGTGGGTTATCCTTGCTAGTACATATCATCGGTTGTTTTTCCTAAAGCTACCATCTCATTCATTTTTGAGAAAATATCTGCTAGACTTTCAAGTGTGAGTAATGGTAGTTTGTCAGTTGTTCTTTCAAGTAAAAATAATATTCCATAGAATGGAATGATAATGATGACTGTAGCTTACAATTCAAATTGATACAGGGAAATGAAATTCCCAACCTACTATATGTCCAATATGACTTCGTGTTCTCTAAAATCAAAGAATAAATTTTAGGAACAGCGAAGGTTAGGAGAAGAAATATTTATTGAAAGAAAAAAAAAACTTATTTCTGAGAGATAGACAGAAGGGGTCCCCAGTGGACGCCAAATATTCTCTCTTTTCTAGGGATTTTTCAGGAGTACAACCATGAGGTGAATCGGGTCTAAAATAAGGAAAACTGGGAACTCGCAGAGCAGATGGGCATGAGATGGTATAAAACTATGATCAACCAATCAGACTAATTTTTCAGATAGAATTGACCAAATTAGAAACAAATGGGGAAATGGAGTCACATAGTAAGTGGGCATTCTTAGGAGAAGGGACTCTTCCTATAAGGGGTTGGGATGGTAACTCTTGGCTTCTCAGGGTAATCCATACCTAATCCCTAATGTTTATACTTAGGGTGTGGTTGCCCTCTGTCTTGAGATCTGGCCCACTGCATGAGGTGTCTCCTCTAAGGTCACAAGACGTTTGGTCCTCTGTATCGGCTTCCTCGAGAGCCTATATCCCTGTCTACCTACCTACCTATATTTCTTACTAGCTCAACTGTTGGTAACAAAATCATTGTACAAGTGTTTGCTTTGAGATTACCATCATACTTTAGTATTCACCACAAATACTATACAGGAATTCCAATGTTCTTACCAAAAAAATTAGAAAGATGTACACTAAAGAATTGAGATACTATAAAAATAACATTACTGAATTATTAAAGACATTCTTAAGTAAAACTGGAAATGCACATTTTTTTTTTGGAAATGCACATTTTTAAAAGGATATTTTATATTGCCTGGCTCAGAAAAATACAGTGACAACCAGAACAATTTGCTGAAGTGAGTTAATCACATAGGCAGGAGAGACTCCAGTAAGGATGTGGTGATCAAGCAGTTCCTTCATGTTCCCTATATCTGATAAGTGCTGTGAAAATATATACAGCAGATTCTTAGATTTAGATTTTTATATGCTCTCAATATTGATATGAATATTTATACAGGAATTTCTACAATAAAGTTTTTTGTTTTACTTTTGGTTTGTATTTTTGGTTTTGTTTTGTTAAAGGTGTTAATATATCATTACTCAGTCTGTTTTGTGATTTGAAGTTAGTTTTAAATCATTTTGTGTATTTCACGAAGTAGACTTCTGCACTTCCGTTACAGAACAAGAGCTTTCCATCATACTATAGGATCCTGCTGTTTCAGAATACAGCGGGGAACTAGAAGTCATCCAAATTAATGCTCCCTTTTTAGGGATGAAGTTTATGGGCACATTGAATGCTAAATTCTGATTAGTGGTTATCTTCTAGAGAGTTTTAGAGGGGTGGAATTAGAGCATAATTTAAAGAAGGTCTCAGCTATATGTTATGTATTTGTATTTTAAAAAAACATTTAGGCAAATGTAGCACAAAACGTTAACATTTAAAAAGGGAAATGGATACTCAGATGATCATTATTTTGTATATTTTTCTGCTTGTGTATTTTATAAAAATTCACAGTTTAGCATATACATGCTGCTAAACTGAGCACTGTAATTAAAAATTAAAACCTAAAATAGATTTAAGTATTTATTGCTACATAAAGAAGAGATATGATGCTCCCAAAAAGCCAATGTTTATGGAATAAGTAAATATCCAAAGACGCTTTGTAGAAATATATTTTTGGCATACTACCAGGGTTCAAACTCATGACCTCATGCTTGCCATGCAGGAGCTTATATGCCACTGAGTTAAATCCTCCGCCCTGGTGATGCTTTTACTTGAGAAGAATCCTTTGATCTTGTACCTGGGCAGTGTATGCCAGGATTCACGGAACTAAATAGGGAAGAGAGCTGGAATTTTCACATGTAGACTTTTGAATTGCATTAAATTTCCCTGTTTTCAGAACAATGTTTTTTGTTTTTTACTATGTCCAGTGTCTCTGAGCCAAAGGAAAAACTCTCCCTAACTAGAATTGGGGAGAGAATGGGGTGCGGTGGGGTGTTTCTAACTCACTCTTACATAACATTTTGACTGTCTTGTGGAAGGCAGATACATAGAAAAGGGACAAGTAGGAGATTGGTAGATTTCCATCAAGGACACACATTGATTTGACCAGTAACCATATTCAAAAACAGTATTACCAGCACTTTTTGAGATATGACAGAAACCCTCCTGTGCTTTTCTTATTACTCCAAAGATAATCATAGTCCTGGCTTCTAAGACTGTAAATTAATTTTGCCCAGTTTATTACTTGATATAAATGCTTACACATATGCTCCCACATTGATCTTCCTTTTATATATGTTTCTCCTTAAAAGTAAAAGACTATTCCAAGAGACATATTATCAGCATGTATTTTATAGTATAGTATATGATACAAAGGTATGGCCTTGATATAAGATGGAAGGTTTTTAAGTTTGACATTGCAGTAAAGGTTTATGCTTTATTTTTCTTTAAGCATAGAAGGTAGATGTAGGGAATTTTGTATCTGAAGTCAGAAGATCTTGTGATGCTGCTGTGTTATCCTTCAGGTAAAAACCGGCTTTAAAGTAATTCTTTTTTTTTACTGCACATTACTATGAGATGCTTGTTTTTCATCTTCATTGACCAAAAAAAAAGTTTATTGACACATTTTCAAACTAATAAGCCTCATAAACACATATTCATAATACATGTATTTTATTCCAGAAATTTAAATTATATATTTAGGAAAGTCATTATTTATATTTGAGAAATCATTAATGTACTCTTTTAATATTCAGAGAATTAGTATGATTTTGAGATTTGCTGTGTTTAATTACTTACTTTTATTTACATAAAGAATTTATGTTAACCAATCTCTAGTGTATTTTCATATGGAATATGTTAGAGAAGTATCAAAAGGCAATTAATTTTTATATTTTTACCCAAGTGTCAATGAATTAATTTTAAGATTAATGTTTGGACAAATTTCTAAGGAAAAACTTAAAGTACATGCAAGTTATAACAGGTGGTAGGAGTAAGCACTTTTTTCTAATTGCAGATTTTCACATTACACAGACTAGCTATTTTCACAGAACATTTAAATTGGTATTTGCACTAGCATTCTAAATCTGGAAAGGTGGCATGCTGGTGTACACACACAGATCAGCAGTTTCAACTGGGAAAACATTGTTCTTGGAACTCTACTGTTTTTCCTTTACTGGCTTTGGAATTCTTCAAATTAGTGTACAGATATGGAGAGACAAATAGTAATTTTTGGTATTTTGCTGGTATCTTTCCCCATTATATGTCACTAGTAACTGTAGTATATTATTTACATTTTTCTGTTTTATTAATAACATTTCATTTAGGATAACTGTATATTCATTTCAGTGTCCATCTTGTCTTTATACAAGATTGTCATTATTTGCATAAAGAATGATTCTTAATAAAATTATGAAATTTTCTTATAAAGTCATTGAAAGTGATAACCTTTCTGCAGGTTTAAATTCGATTCTCATTTATTTGATGTACCAAATTTCATAAATGTCAAACATTTTACCATATGAATAAATTTAGCTTTTTAAAATTTTATCAATTTTTAAATAATCATTTATTAGCATTGCATGGAGCTACCTAGATTTTGGGAGTGTACAGCAGGCAGAATTTCTCCTGTGTGCTGAAATCCTCTCAACATGGAGCAGAGTATTAAATTGACATGACAGCTTAAAAGGAGAAAAACATTTTACATATACACAGCAGCCCTCATAGGAAAATTAGACCCAGAGAGATGGCAAAACCTAAGTGTTGTGCTGGGTTGAACAAATGGAAGCATTTTTGAAAAGTAACTAAAATATATGGGGAATCTAAGGAGGTAACAGTTTTTT